TTTCTTGAGTAGTGAAGACGTTAAGCTCGAAGAAATGGATTGGTTCCAAAATTCAAAGTATGTAGCTTTTACTCATCTGTCTAATTGTGAGCCTTAAGGAAGAAGAAAATTGTAGCATAAATAATAAAATTAAAATAGGGGCAAAAAAGGAAGCAAGAATAAATTTGTTTGCGAAGGGATATACACAATCAATGTCTAATTTGTTCAAATTTCAAAATCTTTTTTTTTTTTTTCATTTGKATTATCAATGGAAGAAAAGAAAAGGTATTCATGATGTCATAAATAGATAAAATTTATGTTACATATTATTTTGGTCCCGTCCCTTTTACTTTGATTCATTTAGATTTTTATACTTTTTAAAATGTCTATTTTGATCCATCCATGTACTTGATAAATTGGATCCATATTTGCAAAATTTTAACAATAAATTTTATATACAATAGAAAATTTTTAATACAAATTTATGACTATATTTCAAAAAATTTAGTAAGTGAAGTGTGGTGTTAAAATGATAATAGAAAAAAATGAGATAAAAATAAAAATGAAATGACTAAAATTATACTTTATAAAGACATCCCAAATATATATAAAATGAACCAAAATTAAAAGTATGTATGAAATTAAAGTAGAAAATAAAACAAATCAAAATTAGGAGAATGAAAAATAGCATTTATTTGTCAATACTAAAGAAAACATTGCCACRTAAAAGGGAAAGCTCATTATGGAAAATAAATTATAAGTTCCATGATGAGTAAAAAAAGAGTTTCTTCTGTACTTTCCTCAAAAAGCTTTGCTTTTTATTTCTTTTTCAATAGATGTCACTTCTAGTTCAATGAAAGTTTAATATTTCTTTTTAATTCTTGATAACCCTAAAGTGACACATCTTTTGTTTTTTTTGTTTTTTTTAATCCATTACAACATTATTATATGTTTTAAAATAACATCTCCCTCCCCTTCTCTCTCACATATTTTTTACATAATATTCCAATTTAAAAAAAGAGAGCGAAAAATTCAAACTTAGTATTTATAAGTTGAATTATGTATACGGGTAAGTGTTACTTTATATTTACTCTCAATATTAGACTTTCGATCTGAAACAGGTATATCTTAAACAATTGACCTATGTTCAAGTTGGTATATTGTTGTTTAGATGTATCTAAAGTTTAAATTTAACTTTCAAATCATAGATTTTATTYCTAAAATTTTTAAAAGTCTATTTGGCTTCTGAATGTTAAAAAAAGACAATTATTTTAGCCTTTGATATTATTTTGGCACCTAATCCATCCTAAAATGTTTGCTTAAACAAATCAAATGTTTTGCCTAAACAAACTTGTGTGGTTCCATTATAGACTAATGTCAACCACCACATTTATACATATTTGAAGTCAAACAATTGACAATAAAATAACAACAAATATCAAAATGATTGTTTTTTAGCCTTTGGTATTGTGATAAAAATAGACATTTTGGAATTTTATGAACTAAATTGAGCAACTTAGAAGTAATATATTTAAACTCTAGGGACTAAAATCGTCTAATTTCATAAGTTCATAGTCTAACCTAGTAAAACTCAAATATATTATTAATTTGATCAACATTAACTTATACGACCCTATATATAGTCAAGGTATTACTCTTTTTACTGTAAAAGTCAACTTAAGCTTTAAAAAAAAAGATATAACGACTAAATTGAAATATGAGATAATATTTTGAGAGCTGTTGAGGGTAAATTCAAGCAGGACACGTGCCGGGTTATGGGGGTGACAGGAAAGCGCGAGACCACGAACGGTTATACTTACACACCGTACGCTGTAAGGGCAAGCGATTGCATCGCCACCTCTGCTGTACGACGATGATACTGAGTGTCACAATTGCACTTTCAACGGAACTCAAAATCAATTGCGCGGCACTTGCTTCCGCCCACATATAAGTCAGCCAACAAGAGTTTGGATAGCCGATGACACTACGGCTATATGTCGCAACCTCCACCCCCGTTCTCGAGAAAACAGTTTTGGAAAACGGGGTTATAAAAAAAGACTTTGGAAAACGTTTGAAAGCATTTTAAAAAGTTTGTTGTATGTTTGAATGCAAGAGAATAGATTAGAGACAAGACAATAATACAACACAATGTAGGGAGGATGACTAGGTGTACYCGCTATAGTACATCCTAAGRTATATTTAATCTGACAAGCATGTACGTACAAAGTGGCAAGGAGTCACTCGCCACCAAAAGTACAAGGAAAAGTAAACAACATACAAAACTAAATACATGATATGAAAGTACGTGGAAAGAGGTTTTTATAGGCATGCTGCCATAGGCAACAGGCCCTGGACAAGCATGACCATGACACCGAGCACTACAGTCTGGCACCAGCAAACTACGAATTGCACACCTGCAAACGGAGGCGCCACCCAGTGATTGTCGAGGGAATACCCTCCAGATCAGCTTAATCGTCACCCTTCCTAGTCGGTCATCCGCGCCTATAAAAGGAAAGGACTCCCACCTTTGCCAAGTAAGTGAAAAACTTGTCATCSAAACCTTAAATGTGTCTACTCCTATTTTCTCCAATCTGATTACYAACTTAAGCATCGGAGTGTATTAGACGGGATACCACACCAACGTCGAGTTTTCTGGTTGCAAGCTCATTTACTCTTCTACGAAAGCACTCATCCGAGGGACACATGAACCTCTCAAGAATTCGCCGTTAACAAATGCAAATTAAAAACGAAAATGACTTTGTCTATGAAATTAGCAATTCACACTGAAAGATGGAGTCTATAGCTTTGGATACAAGCCTCTGAATATGTGGTTCTAAGTAGAAAAATTAAACAAAATAGCATTTCAAATAATGGAACTGTTTAGGTTGAATCTAATATACCCACTAACTAACAAAGAGTGCTTTCTAATGCATCAAGTGATAATAATTTTTCTTTTCAGATTCGATCCTGTGAGAGTTACGCTTGAAGATTAAAAGAAATGAATATAATAAATATCTGATCTGCTCAATTATAATTATTAATTGATAATAATTTTAATAACAYTGGATTAAGATGGAAACTAAAAAAGGGGATTAGTCAAAGCCTTTCAACTTGTCAAATCATTTGTTAGTTAAAGATAGTTATTGGGAAGCTAAAAATCCACTCAAATGCGAAGGAGTAAAATTGCAGTCAATATGTTTGAATATTCTTTTTTTTTTTTCTTTTCTTGGTGAGCCAAGATAGTTTTTTATTTTTACTCTTCAAAATGGTTCAAATATATATATCCATCCATTTATCTCTTCACAAAAGAAAAAAAAATAGTATTTTAATTTTAAGAAAAAGATGAAATAAATAGATTAGTAAATGGTAATAAACTTGACACTAAAATTTCCAGTAAAAGAAACATAAATAGTTAAGTTTACAGATAATGTTATGTTTTTTAAAATAAAAGTTACGTGAAAAAAATATTCAAGTAATTGTTTTAAAAACTATTTATTCTACTGTTTAAATAGTAACAGAGGACATAAATTTTATATTTTGATTTTTTTATATATAATTTTTTTATTCTAAACACTTGGAAAGGGGCAAGTTATAAAGAAAAAAATATTTTTGATGTACTTTTTGAATTTGAGACAAATTAGGGTCATTGCTCCTTTCTTCTCAGCTTCTCCTTGCAAGCAACTGGTTTTTTTTTTTTGACTTCAGGTCACAGGAGGGCATTTCTTAATAATAATCTAAAGAACTCTCACTTAATCCCAACATAATATTTCAAAGTAATCATAAAAAAACAAGCACCATTTTATAACGCTTTCATTTATAGTTTTATATTTAAAAAAATCATCCCTAATTCCTTGAAATTTATTTGGTATGTTTTACAAGTTTCTTAAAACACATCTAATTTCTTATAGCTAAGTTTTAAAAAATATGTTGTTAAAACCTTTTTTAGATTTTAAAAATTGAATTTGATTTTGAAAATGTTTTTAATAAGTAAAATCATTAACCTAGTTTTTTTTATACAAAATTGATGAATCAAATCCTAATATTTACGAGATACAAGTATAGCTTAGTATTATCTATATCTATTCATTCTCTTGAGGTCGAAGATACACTCTTACACAATACCTTGTACTTAAAAACGTAATATCTGAAAATTRAGAGACTAGTATACTTTGAAAGTTGAAAGATCAAAATGAAACATATATATATATATATAGAAAAAAAATCACACTAAATAAGAATTCAAACCCTACAAATTTTTTTTTTTTTTTTAAAACAAAAAGACCTTATAAATTTATAGTCTCATCTCTTAAGCTTTGCCCTCCTCTTTTATTATTGACCAAAATAGGAATTTCCATCTCAGAATAAAAGATAACAATAATAAAAAAAAAATCCCTCATTTTCCTTCCATGTTTGTGGGCTCTAGGCATGCAAGGCACGTGCCGTCTTCTACTTTTATCAAACTGATGGTTTCCCATATCGGGAATGCATCAATATAACAACATAAAAAAACTCATAAAAATTATTGTTTCCTTTTTTTTCTTTTTTCTAAAGATTAAATATTAAGAGATCACTTTGTTCCCATGCATCCTTCCCCATCGTAAGACGCCTGAGCCCGCTGACGTGGCATCAATCGATCGGTCTTACTCACTCTCACTTTCTTGCCCCTTCCCTATGGGTCCAATGTCACGGCATTACTCTGCTCTCGTATACACTGGATTCCTCGTCCCCGAGTGAGTGCAGCCTATTACGTCGCTCCACGTGTAAAACTTTATTCAGTCAGATCGTGGAGCTCGAATTCAATACATTACCATATACAGAGCCTTCACATATGGTATATTTTTTCAACGGCTCGATTTTCCGTATCGGTTTTTTCGAAACCATACGTAAGCCTTGCGGAGTGAAGGCGGGCCCACCGATCCAGCGGTACGCGTGGACGGTTGGATTTAGAGACGGTGTATTGGCGATGGTAGAGCCGCATCGTAGTGGATCAATCGCTATAGTAAAAATACCAAAGCTCAGCTTCTGTCGCTATCCAGTAGTCTCAGAAGTCCCTTTCTCTTTCTTCTCACCGAGAGAAAAGAAGATCGCATGTCCTCACCGGTAAACCTCACCGGCGATTTCTCCGGCAAAGGTCAGTTCACTTGGAATCTCTGTCACTCGTGGAATTCCGGATTTTCAATCTCCCATTGTTGGTTTCTTTGATTTCGATTTCCATTGAAATTATTGGCGCATTTGTATTTGTGTGAGTTTCGGAATTTTGTTTGATCGTTTTGAGCTCTGATCGGGGTTCGATTGCTGCTCTATGAGTTTTAATTTTTGGGTTTCTTTTTTGGTTTGCTTTTTTGTTTGTCTTTGCAGATCGATTTTGAGAAACTTTGAGTTTTGGGGCTAACTTGAGTAGTGTCGTCGTCTACATCTGGCACTGGGCGTGGAGTTGGATTCGAGTGTGTGTAGTGTGGAAGGGAGCTGAGCTGATTGCGCGGAGGTTGAGTTTCAGAGCTTGGCGGAGTGACTTGAAGTTTTTGGGTTTTTGGTTGGGGGTTATCAGCGGAAAGAATGGTACGTTTGAATTCGGAATTTGCATACTATTTCCCCCTATGCATGTTACTTTGTACAATCTTCTCCTTGTAAAAGATTAATTTTCTGTTTCCATAACATCTTTTGTCATCTTTAACGTCTTGCCTACCTAATGGAGTACTTATTCATAAGCTGCTAGGTTAATAATATGTAATAACCTATTTTCCATTCGGAGTCACTCTTCAATTTCTGTTGGCTAATTTGCAAAACTCTAGGCTGTATCTTTTACTGTGATGGAGTCACAAATACTAGTGACTGCTCAAAACCATGATAACATTTTCAGATGAGTAAATGCTCTTTGAGATTTATGATGAATTAGCATACATTTTAAGCGTACAGGTCTATGGCACGACAGGAAGACATCTCCAAGTATTTATTGAGTTAATATGTTTGGACGGACCTTCAATAATTGTCATCTTCGATATCATTTGTATGGTTCCCTCAAAATTTTGCTGTTTCGACTCTTACTGAAGCTCAATATGTAGAAGTGGAATGGACCTAAGGCAAGTTGCTTGATGTGGTAGGTATTCTAGGAGGTTACAGTTTTGACATTCAAAATGGAATCTTCAATAGCTGAAATGTGTAGGTTTCTGTTTTTAGTTTGATCTAGTTAAAGCTTTAGATGGGTCATCCCATTATTTACAACTATTGCAGCTATTAAATGCCAATTAACTAAAAAGTATAGACATTTTCAGGAAATTTTGTAAAGAATTTATTGATCTAACTCCCTTTCATCGAGTCACAACTTATTATATTTAATTCCTCTTTACTCCAAATCTGTGCTTGCTTATTCTGGCAATCATATTTGGTTCAAGTTAAAGTGTTTCCTTATGGCTTATTTTGCTCAAACCTTGATCCATTTACCTCAGTAGATGAGCAGAATTCCTCACAGTATTCATCTTGTGCCAATCGTTGCGTTTAGAGTTTGTGAAAGGAAGCTGAGGATTATGTGTTGTTTAATTTCCATTGTCACCAAACAATAATAATAAGGGAAAATTTGTTTATAATTCTATGAAAACTTTTTCTTGGCTCATCATGCAGTTGATAGTTAAAATTTTTAGGGACTTTCCTTTGGATGGAGCATAAAGCTAGACATGACTCTGTCCCTCTTATGGAAAGATGGCTTCACTGTCATAGTTCAGACAGATTTTTAAAAGTCTAAGCTACATCGAAAATGTAGCTGATCTTGTCAATAATATTGTTGGAATGAGCTAAAATAGTATTATCTGTGACAATGTGACGAGTGACTAGAAAGAAGTTGTTAGAAATTGGAAAAAATGGCTAGGAGATGAAAAGGACTGAATATGACTTTCAGCTTTTGTTTCAACTTATTAGGAAATTAAAATGCACCTCACTTGAAGTTATATTCCATCCTGTATGATAATTTTCACTTGTTTCACAAATTTTGGATTCATAAAATTTTTTCCCTAAATGTAAAATTATGTTATAAAAAATATGAAAATATGATGGTCGTCTGATCTTCTTGTCTATTCTAGTTTAACTATAATAACTGGTAGGAAGTGGTCTATCTGCAGTGAAGAATAAAAAGATGGTTGATAAGGAGTTGAAATAAAAAATGAAATGTTAAAGGTTTAGTCAGTGATAAGAAATTTTTTTTTTTTAAGTTGTTTGATTGAGATTGTGGGCTTCGGTTGATTGAAAATAAAGGCTCTCAAGTAACTGTCCTGCAAGTTAAAGCCTCAACAAACTTCAAAGCCCTTACTAGAAGACTCGATGGGAGCAGTGGCAAAATTCTAGCATCTTGATGGTTCCATTAGTTTGAAAGAAATATGATGTCAGTATCATTTATTGACGTTGGATTGGATGAATTCGACAATTTTTTATGCAATACTGATGAAGACAACGTTCAATATGCTAATCTTGTTTGAAGGTATAGTTGAATAGCATTTAAATGGACTATTAATTCCCAGAATCTTGACGGGGGTGGGAAGTTGTTGTGATGTGAAAGTGCTGGAGAAATTAACAGAGAAAGAGAGGGAGGACAGGGAAGAAAGAGGGAGAGAAAGGAAGCTTGGGCTTCTCTAATGATCAATCACATAATATTTTGCCAAAATATAATGTCCAAGGCCTATTTGTAAGTATGATCAAGTAATTCTGAAGGGAAAGACAATTAAGTTGGGAAAGATATATACTGGTCAAACATGTGTTCTACCTACAATCTAAAGTCTTAATTATCGTGCAAAAAGAACATTTACACTAGTTTTAAACCTAATGAGCTAATCGAATCTCCATCTGATTATATGATGAAGTGTTATGTGTAAAATGTTTGAACTGGAAAATGTTGTAAATTTGAGCAAAATGATGTCTAGTAAGGGAAGTTAATAATTTCACTCTTTATTGATCATGAATTTTTTTAGCATGAGATTGGATTTTGTAATCAGATATTAGAAACTTGTAGAGTACTTTTAAATTTGTATTTAGTTATAACATTGTATAAATTTTCTTTGCTAACTCAATTTTTTTATTAAGGTAGTATATTTTCTCAATGTTTTTAATAAGTTAGTATATTTTAACTAGTCCTTTATTCAAAAACTGACATTCTGTATATTTTTTTTCATGTGTAATATATAAGTATAACTTTAGGTCTTCAGAATAATAGTTTTATTTGGTTTTGATCATGTCAACTTTAAGCTTTTATGTTAGTTGTCAGTTCACACGAATTGGAAATTATCTTTCTGGGAATGGATCCGTAAAAAGCTCTTAAATATTTTATTACTGTAAGGAAATAACTGCATGGCTTTAGCCTTATTATTCTGGAGTGAATTTCTTTGTAACAAATGATTTCTCTTCCAGCCATTCGTCCATCACGTAGTTAGTTTTCACGAGAGTTTATGTTCAGTTCAGATGTCTATGTTTTTTAATATCATTTGGCTAATATACTTGTGTTATTTTCTGAAATGCATGAATTGTTTATGTGGAGATGTAAACCCTTTCCTTACAAGTTTTCTCTGTATCTTCTTCTGTCTGAAAGGGGAAGAGGTTACAGCTTTTACTGAACTTAACATATGAATATGGTTATATGTTGCTGTGCGGAGGATGCATCAGTAACTATAACTATTGCTATATTTAAAGCTTCTGGAAATTAAGGTGGCACGTATTTATTCTTCCTAGTATTTAGTTTTTTCCCCTATTCCGTTAAATGCAAACTGCAAGCTTATATATACTGGCATCTTAACCACATTTTCTTGTAATCAAGTTAATCTTTTGTCCTAGTATCTTTTGTGGTGTCTTGGGGTAAATTCTTGTGTTTTGAAATAGAAGCTGCGTAATCATTATGATTTTCTGATATTTGAAAGCCTCTCAAGTATTTGTTTTTTTTTTGGCAGTCTTTCCAGCATAAAAGCTTTTGGATACCTAGGGATGCAGGATGTTTAACTGATGGAGAGATGAATTATGATAGCTCCTCTAGAATTGAAACAAAGCGTGGCCATCAATGGTTTATGGATGGCAATGCACAAGAACTATTCAGTAGCAAGAAGCAAGCAATAGAAACTGTAAATTCTAGACCTGTTCCAGGAGTTCCACACATGAATGTTTCTCCCTGGGATAACACTTCGAGTTTTCAGTCAGTTCCTGGGCCATTCACTGATCGCCTCTTTGGCTCAGAGCCTATAAGAACTGTCAACTTGGTTGATAGAGGCATCACTGTTGGAAATGCTAATATGGACATGGGAAGAAAGGAGTTCGAGAATCATTTTGCAAACAACCCATCAGTTGGCTTGTCCATGTCCCAATCCATTGAAGATTCCTCATCATGTCTCAGTTTTGGTGGAATTAGGAAAGTTAAAGTCAATCAAGTCAGGGATCCTGACATTGGCATGTCTGCCTCGTTGGGGCATGCATACAACAGGGGTGATAATGGTACAATTTCGATGGGTACAACATTTAACAAAAATCACGAGAACGCTATATCATTGGGCCAGACTTATAATAGCAGAGATGACAGTACCATCTCAGTTGGCCCTGCATATCACAAGACAGATGACAATTTTATTTCAATGGGTCATACTTTCAGCAAGGGTGATGGAAATTTCATTACAATTGGTCATAACTATAGCAAGGGGGACAGTAGCATCTTATCAATGAGTCAGCCTTTTGACAAGGGGGATGACACTTTTATATCAATGGGTCAGTCTTATGAGAAGGCAGATGGCAATATCATTTCTTTTGGTGCTTCCTACAATAAAGGGCACGAAAATTTTATCTCAATGGGACCAACCTATAGTAAAGGCGGTGATACTTTCATTTCAATGGCTTCCTCCTATAATAAGGGAAATGATGATACCCTTTCAATGGGTCCAACATATGACAAGGTGGACTCTGACATCGTACATGTGGGTCCTAAATATGACAAAGCGGATTCTGGTTCTCTGTCTATGGCTCACAACTACCATAAGGGTGAGAGTAATACTATATCTTTTGGAGGTTTCGATGATGAAAATGCGACAGATAATCCTTCTGGTGGGATCATTAGCAGTTATGACTTGTTAATGGCTAATCAGGCTTCTGCCCAAGCATCAGAAGTATCAACCCTGCGAGATTCAGTTGATCCCAATGCGGAATTAAATGTTAACAATGCCCCAAAACTTGATGCTAAAATTGACACAAGTTCCAAGAATAAAGAGCCAAGGACGACTAAGAAGGTGCCCCCAAATAGCTTCCCTTCAAATGTTAAAAGCTTGCTCTCCACTGGTATGCTTGATGGGGTCCCTGTGAAATATGTTTCTTGGTCAAGAGAGGTATCATCTATTTTCTTAAATATAAGTGTTATTCTTAATTTGAAAATATGCAGAATGCTTTGAGATTAATTAGTTTTTTCTGCCACCTGTTTTTAACATTTATGCTGGGAAGAAAAATCTCAAGGGAATTATAAAAGGGACTGGATATTTGTGCAGCTGTGACAACTGCAAGCAATCTAAGGTAACTTATAAAGTTCAAGATTACATTTGTTTGTAGACCAAGGAAATGAAGCTCTAATTATATGATTAAGGTTGCTAAGCGAGTTTATTGCACAGGCTCTCAATGCTTATGAATTTGAGAGGCACGCTGGCTGCAAAACCAAACATCCAAATAATCATATTTATTTCGAGAATGGCAAAACTATCTATGCTGTTGTTCAAGAGCTAAAGAACACCCCTCAGGAGATGCTATTTGATGCAATTCAGAATGTGACTGGCTCTCCCATTAATCAGAAGAATTTTCGTATTTGGAAAGGTGATCTTTTAAAATTCCATACAATCTTTACGTGGCTACATCAGTAAAAATATGAAGGATTATGTATTTCTATTGAGTTTGGCAGTGTAAATTTGTATACGATGATTAAAATTGAATCAATTTTCACAAAATTTTCTAACTGGAAAGTACTTGTGCAAATAAGACGTTAGAGAGATTTGAAAATATAAAAAGAGCTTCAGGGTGCTGGTCTTCTTGGCTGGTCAAAGATGGGCAGCCGAGAAGGTTTTTGGGCTTTTTGTGACTGCCATGGTTCTTTAAGCCCACGAGTCAGAATAGCACGAGAATAACTAAAACCTCTGGCAGGTTGCTCTGAATTTTCGCTTTAATAATAGGAGTGTGGTTTCAAGCCTCTCACTTTTTGATTTTTGTTTCCGCCCCATTGTGATCAACCACGTGGTTTTCCAATGAAGGAAAAGATAGTTTGGTATCTTGTGGATTTCACATATGCCCATATTTTTTTACGTTTATTCTATTATATCTTTTTTTCTTTTTCATGCTTGTAAGCACTCTATATATTAAATTTGTACTTTCAAGATCAAGGTTACAGTTCCCTTCACACTTTGTTGAGCCACTTGTTTTTTCTATGAAGAAAAATGCATTTTGTATCTAGTAGATCTCACGTAAACACTTTTTTTTTTTTGGACATTTATATTAAACATTTATGTTGGAGTCTCACACTTTCTCTGTCATTTCTACTGCACAGCATCTTATCAAGCTGCCACCCTTGAACTCCAGCGTATTTATGGAAAGGATGAAGTAATTATGCCTTCTTGAGATGGGGATTTACCTTTTTAATTTTTGAGGTAGGCTATGTGTTGTCGTCTGTGCTTAGCAGTGTTCAGATTTGAATACATTTGGTCTCAATTTGACTTTTAAACTTAAGGAGGCCTATGTCTATAAACAATATGCCTTTTTTGTGCTCTCTCTAAATTAAGTTGATAAAATATTGAAAGTTTTGGATAACCCTATACTTACAAGTAGGCGGCTAATGCCTTTGTCATGCTGCAGCCTAGTGTGGAATGTTGTGCGTACAACATATTCAGTCATGAAATAGGAAATTAGTGATCAAAATATTTTTAAGCTTCGAACAACTGTGCTGTGTACCAGCTTAATCTTTCGATCTCAATTCTGACTCTTTTACTAGTCTTATCCTTAAATATTCATACAGTGTAGCTCTCTGCATTAATTGCTGCATTCATGTACTCTAACATCATAAACTCACATATAGACGAGGAAAATTCCAAGTATTTTTCTCTCTCCTAGAATAAATGAGCTTGAGATATTTGCGAAGCAACTCGGGGACTTGGAGCTCAAAGTTTTGGTGTGTATGCTGATGGTGTTCCATCTCTGCATGAGATGTATTTTCTTGTATTGTTTTTGTTTATTTATTGTTTGATTTTGCTGATACTTGTATTATACCACTTGTAGACCTCAAAGATATACCCACCAGGGTATTTATTCACAGGATGGATTTGTAACCAAAACATTGCTAAAGTGAGTATATTGTAAACCAGTAGTTGCTCTCAAAGATGATATGGATGAGTGGCGTTTGGTGAAGGCGTTATTCGGCCAGGTCGGTCAGCAACCTGCCGACTTACAAAGACATCAATTTGATCACAAGTGTCCATTGCACAGAATGCCCTCTGCTTTTCCTTTCATGTTACATTTTGTTCTTGATTTTATTCCCTCTTGGCAGAATTGTATTGAAGCATTTCAGCACAATAGAATAGTCTGAAACATCCATCTTTTCCAGGAGCTTTGGTTCCAACAAAAACAGAAACTATTATTATATAATATATAGGCCGCCTTCAAATGCAAAAATTACAAATACATTTTGGTTGAGATGAAAATGCAGGGTACTTATAACCGCGTTCGACTTGCTCATATTAACAGATGCGAGGAGAATCACAGGTACTCAACCGAATTCATCAATTTGTCTCTTTATCAACATCAAGCACCAGGAACTCTCGACTCGGTTGAACCATCGTGGTCGTCGAAGCCTCATCCTTTCCAGTCATCTGTTGCTCACAAGGTGTTACCTTATCACAGCCGGATTTAACTGAAAGCTGATCTTTGCTTTGTCCCCACAAAACCAGGTACAAGCCAGCGATAATGGCTACTGCCCCAATAACCCTGCAAATAGAGTTGAAAAGAAGCAGAATTTTTTTTTAGTCTTTTTAAGTTGTGTGTTCAAAGGTGAAACAGATTTCTTCTTTACCTGCCCAAGAACATTATCTCAGATAGGATGAAGGAGCTCATAATTGCAACTAAAATCATGCTCAGAGGACTGAATGCAGTGACAAAAACAGGTCCTTTTGTCTGCATCACCACTCCTTGAATGTAATAAGTTACCCCTGAACATATTATTCCCTGCAAAGAAAAAAATGCTATTAGAGGAGAAAAAATGGACCAAGTTCTATCGCGTTTGCTTATTAGGAATGAGAATGAGGGAATAAGAATCGTTCCCCTTCGTTCTCATGTTAGGATTTATCGTACAAGGATTCTTGATTTGTAGGTTTTAGACCAAATGAGATTAGATTTCTAACTATGGGAGACGAGATTTAAATGATCTCATTTTGATTCTAAAATTTATGATCTCGACATTGTCTCTATTTTTGTTATGGCTACCGCATCTATAGTGAGTTTAACATAGTTTTAAGAAAGGTGAAAAGTGTTTTTTTACTTAATCAAAAGTACTTTTCAAAGTTTTCATTATATTTGGTAACGGAATAAAAAAGATTCTTTTCTTTTAAGAGTTTGAAAAACACCCAAAAGTACCCATATAAAAAAATTTTAAAAATATTTATCGTGAAAACATACTTTCTTTCAAAAGTAATTTCAAACTCACTTTTATTTTGTGTTTTTTTTTTTGTGTTAGTAAACACGATATCAAAATTTTTGGTTTCCACTCAACAACTTCTCGTTCTTATTCCTATCAAATTAACTGCAGTTAAAATATGCACACACTTACAGAATAAACAATAGCCAGAAGTTGGCTGTCAAAGTGCAAAGACCAAGCAGCAGGGTTCCCCCTGTCCATGACCAAAGCCACCACAGAGCCTCCAATGGTTCCCACCAAGCATATCAACGCCGTGAGCGACATCTCCGCGGGGTACGCTTTCAGCGTAATAGCCTAACGCCATTGACATCGAAATTAGTTTCCTTTCTGCAAACTCCAATGTCCATCAACCAAAAGAGAAGGCTTGATATTTTTACCTGGAGAATGATGAAAGCTGACCAGCAAATGCAGCCAGATGCAATAATGAGGGAGCCCTTTAGAGGGTCTTGGTGAATTGCAGCAGAAGCACTTGAAGAAGAAGCAGAGAGCTGGTTGTGGCTTGTCCATGGCAGATTCAACATGGGACCTCTTATGAAGGTCATAACCATGGCTCCTCCTACTGTCACTATGGTCCCTAAGATTTTTGCTTGGCTTCCCATTTTCAAAATATTCACTTTCTCAAGCCTGCACGTATAAATATTTTTATATGTTCGTTGAAACTCTTGAAATGGCGTGGTTTTTAGTACAACATTTGGGAGTGGAAATTCGAACTTACGATCTTTTAATTGAAGATAAGTGTCTTAACCAGTTGAACTATGCTCAGATTGGTAAATAAAAGGGATAGTTTTGTATTTTGATTATTCATCCATTTGATAGTGTATAGTTTGGATAAGTTAAATATAATATGTCGAGTTGGATAAGAAAGGATATTTGTTAATGTATTATTTCTTGAAAAAAAAAGAGGTTTGATATTCGTCAACTTGAACATAATTTTACTGTTAAAACACTGAAAATATTTTTTTTAGCTTGATGGGAACTGTAAAATCAACTACTAGGGTTGCTTGCTTTCCTATTTTTTTTAGTACTTGAATAACTATTTTCTAAATGTTATTGTTTTGCCATTTTTTAATAATATTTTCATACATGAATTTTTTTCTATATAAAAAAAATCAGTATTAGTGAATAATAGTTTTAATATACATAATAACAATGACTTTTAGCTAGTAATTCAATCACAATTTTCCAAAAAAAAAAAAAAGTTTAAATCCTATTTTAATCTCTAAAGGTTGATTATTTTTATTAAACTTTTAAATATTTTCTTTTAATCTCTCAATTTTACATTAATTTTTCATAATCCATTTCAAAACTTAACACATAACTTATTACTACGCATGGAACAAAATATGCAAACATATCTTAGGTTTTATTTATTAAACTTTACAAAAAGTTAATAACAATGATTTAAATCTTCAAGTATATATATTTTCAAAACACAGTTTTTTTTTTCCTTTCGTGAAGGGTAAATTGAAAGTACCTGCAAGCCCAAGCCATGAGGAAAGCAAAAGCTGGTAAAATATTGCACATGGCAGCTGTAAAGGTTGCTGTTGTCAACTTCATACCGGTATAGTACAAGTTCTGATCGATCACCGGCCTGCGCCGTTCTCTCAAACCGTTAATTAATGAATAAAATATTAAATTTACCATAATCTATCAATTTAAACTTTCGAGTCCGGTGATAGTTTAGTATTGTATCAAAGTAGAGACAAATTCTCCATTTAAAACTCCTTGTAATATAACTTAAAAGAAATATTAGTATTGATTATCAAGCTTTTGTGCTAATTACGACATCATGTGAGAGTGATAAAAATATGAACTTACTCTAATAAACCGAGCATCACAATCTTCATGAATAGCGAAAATGTCATCTTCGTCCTCACTTTCCTGCATGCAACGTTAAAGAATATGAATAAACGATATAATCGAAAACTCTACATTCAAATCTCCGTAGAACCATTATTTCCTCACTACACTTGCTAGACCCAGCCCGTGCTAACTTCAAAGCTCGAGGTAAAGAACATAAAAAAAGGATTAAATTTACATATATAATTAACCAAACCTATCGAAGACGATGGCGAAAGGGGCAATGAGAAGAGTAGCCACAGCGTGTCGATAAACGACGAAGACATGTTGGCTCATGCCTTGGTCGAGAGCTGACTTTGCAAGAATGGCCATTCCAGCATACCCAAATTGCACAAAAACAACACCCACATAGGGCTTTGCCACACCCAAGATCTTCAGAAAACCCTCCATTGTTAATATTATAACTGCTTTAATTCTCTCTGTCTCTATTTTGAGATGTTTTTAGAATGAACAAAGGGAGAGGGTTTTATAGAGGCAACAAAATTAGGAGTCTAGGGACTCCACTAATACAACACATCAAGAGAATTAAAGAAGATGGTTTCACATGTGTAAAGTCATCATTGTGCTGACAGAGGAAGCAGATTAAATAATTAATTCTATATTAATAATAATAATGTATGGTATGTAGATTATGATAATTAATACACAAATATCTAAATTGGGTTCATGATTTGGTGTGTAGTTATGTTACTACTAATGTGGGGGTTTTGGTTAATGCTTTTAATTTTTTTTTAAGTCTATGTGTTCTATTCCATATAGGGCTTCCTTTTATATATATGGCCAGCTGTGTGTGTGCATGGTTTTTTTTTCTTTTTTTCTTTTCTYTTGTGTGTTAYGGTTGAAATTTGATTAGGATTACTACATTGATAAACTATTTAGAGACTATAATTATGATTGAATTGTATAAAATTTATACGTTTGTCATGAAACAACCTATTTAAGATGGTACCTATCACCCAATTTACTAATATCTCACCTCAATATTAATTAATTTTAAAAATCCAAAATTGACAACTTAGGAGGTTACATTTTAAATCCATTAACTTTACAAAAGTGAAAAATATCAAATCCCAAAATCCTCCGTTATTGAAAAAATTCGAAAACCTCATTCCTCTGACTTTTCTTCTTCTTCTATCGTTATGTTTCCGTCCATTCATTCGTTTTCGACCGCCGTCTGCGTTCCTTCGTCTCCTGCCGCCGTCTTCGTTCTTCTTCGTCGCCGGAACAATCCGTCTAGCTTCTCCTTCGTCTCCGGCCGCCCATCCATTGTTTCCGTCCATTTATCCCGAGGTTTCCTTTTTGTCGTCGACCGTCCGTCGATCATTCCAGCCCTCCATTTATCCCGGTCATTGTCTAGTCGCCGACCGGAATGTTTGTAGGTTATATACTTTGTTTGTTAATTGTAGAGGGATATAGTCGTATATACTTTATAGCCACATATAAGTTATATCTCTGTATAAGTGTATGTTATAACGGTTATAGTTTATATCACAATTGTTAAGTGTATGTTGCTTAAGTTTATAGCCGGATATAGTTTATATTTCATATAACTAAAAAGGTAATCGGATATAGTTTATATYTCTATATAAATAATATATATATATATTCCAATATAAGTGTATGTTATAATGGTTATACTATTGAAATTTGGCAAAAAAAAATATAATAAAATGAAAAAATATTTGTAATAAATTTCATTATTTAGTAGAATATATTAAGGAGTAAATTATAGGAAATTAGGAGAATGATTGATTTAGATCCCACATTTACAAAATCAAATTTGGAATATTAAAAATCTTTTGCATTTAAATAAAAGACAAATTATAATAAATATAAATGTCATAGATAAGGGTAAATTTGGCATTTAAAAAAAATTTTAAATCCAAAAACCTAAGACYGTAAAATTTGTAAACATTGGACCTGTGAAAATAAATTTGCAAAATAGCTTATTCAAGAGATTATCTCAATTTGATTAARAGGATGGTTTAAGGCTCATTTGATAATATTTCTGTTTTTGGTTTTTGGCTTTTTCTGTTTTTAGTTTTTGGTTTTTGGTTTTCTGTCTTTTAAAAGCAAAAACCACTGAAAACTAAACAGTAACCATTTGCAGAAAACTTAAAAAGTTAGAAAATTGAAAATATATGTTAGATAGAGAAAATTCTATGTAGAGTAAAGATGACAATGGTGTGGATTGAGTGACGATGCTCTCCCTCRTAAAAAAATTTTAATCCTCGTCTCCACACCTCGTTCTTCGGTTCGGAGATGTTCTTAAGAAAAATTATCGATTTTATAATTGTTTTCAATTATTTTTAGAATTTAAAAAATAAAAAAAGTGTAATAAATATATATTAATTATTTAAAAAATAGAATTGGGGACGAGGTCGGGGTTGAGACTTGCATTTCCTATTTTTTATGTCCGACCCTGCGGAATTTTTGTCATGAATATGAAAATACGATGTAAATAAACTTTTGCAAGATAAATTTTAGAGAGATAAATAAAAAAATTAAAAAATAATTAGTAAAAGAATCGTTAAAGAYAAAAAGAGAAAAATTTTAGAGAAAAAAATAAAGTAGAAAGGAAAAGATATGTAAGGAAAGAAAGAGAAAAATTATAGTGAAAAAAATTTAGARATAAGAACAAGATTCAAAATATAAATTTTAGAGAAAATAAATTAATAKAAAGATAAATAAAAGTTATAATGAAAAAAAATTGAACAAGAAAATAAATATAATTTTTTGAGGAAAAAATAGTTTAAAAAGAAAAAATTTTCGRAAAAATATCAAATTTTTAGAAAGAGAAATGAAACTGATCGAGAGAAAATAAATTTTGTAGGGAGAAAATTAGAAAGAAAAATTTTGAAGTAAAAGAATTTTGTCAGAGATAAAAATGAGAATGAAAAAAATAGAATATTAAAAAAAACATGATTTTCAATAACAGAAATCAGTTTTTGAATTGACCCAACAATTCCGTTTTTAAAAAATTAAAATCCAAAAACCAAAGACCAAAAGCCGAAAATTGAATTAACGTGTTTTTCTAATTTAGATTTTTATTTATTTATTTATTTATTTATTTATTTATTTATTTATTATTATTATTATTTTTTGTGTATGGTTTAGTGACATGAGTATCAGGGATCCACTAAATTTGTGACAGGTTTAGAAAAGAAAATGAAAAAAAAAAGAAAAGAAATTGTGATTTGGTAAATGGATGAAGTTTTTTTACTATAAATAATTGTGGTATTGTTTTATTTTTATTAAATATTGAAGTTTTGTGTCTTAAACGAGGTTTTGAATGTTGATCGCGTCGAGAAAATTTTATGTCAATGAGCTGTATATCGTTAATCACCATACTTCTTAAAAAAATTTAATACGTTCTAAAACTTTTCAGTTGTATTTATTTTAGTTTATGTACTTTAAAAGAAGTTATGATGTTTAATAGGTTTTTAAATGCTTTTTTAACTCATTTTTTCACCAACTCGTCAAACACCTCATCTTTTCAAAGTTTAGCCAAATGCTATTCTCAAACACCTCATCAGGTATGCATTACACTATTGAAGTTAACGACCTAAATTGATATATTATATATCAAATTTAAAAAGTTTAGGGATTCATTAGAAAATTTAATGATATTAAAAAAAAATTAAATACGAAAATTAAATAACATTATTCTAAAAATTCAAAAATCAAATTAATTATAATTTTGACGTAGAAGATCAAAAGTACATCATTCCCTGCACGATCATCACTTTATTATTATTATTATTTTTCAGAAAAAGGTAGAGCATTTATGTGACAAATCTCATCACATTTCTATCTTGGGAATGAAAAATCCAAAATTTTGAGTCAAATCCAATCAAAAGTATATACATAATGCAATGAGCATTACAAAAATTAAATACACATCTTTAAGAGAATTCAAATTCTAGATCATACCTTTGCTTTTATAACCTATAGTTTTTTCATTTTTATTATTTTCCATTTTTTATTAATAAATCGATAATATGTTTCCAATAGTTGCCCTTTTCCAACCATTACAAGGAGATTAATTTCAATCTAGAAACTCAACTTATTTTAGAAAGCCCCATTTTGCATATCATCTCTTAAAAATAAAAAATAACCGTAGATGATTTAATTATCTGAAGTTAAGAATTCCTATCATGACAATATTTCTCATTTTTTATCACCATGCATATAAAACAACAACATAATTTTTATAAAGACAATAATCTGAAATAGTAAAATTAATCAAAGCTAGTTTTATAATCATTTCCAATATTTTCGACATGTATAGTCTATGAAGTTTGATTTTCCTTGTCTAGTTTTCAATCTCGAGTCTTTCTTGTCTTGTTTTTATTTATTCTACCAAGGTTTATTTTAGTTTTGTCTAATTTTCTAATCGTGTCTTGATCATCTCAACCTGTGTGAGATTCATTTCTTTCACAAGAGGAAAAAAACCCTCGAAAATGGGTGACTTGATTGACTTAAAAGCGCGATGCCTCGATGCTGCTACAATCATCCAAGCTACTTTTGGTCCAAAGTGTTATAGTGTGAAACTCTATGTTATCGTAAAGAAACGTCCTATCGTTGGATTTAAAAATTAATAAAAATTGGGCTTCAACATATTATTATGTTAAGTGAACTTTGATTTATAGCCTCAAAGTGGAGATTTAGTGCACCAACTTGTGGCTCAAGATTAGAGTGAGAGAGAATTGTTTGTTTTTTTTTTTTTAATTATTATTTCAGCTGTTTTCTTCCCAAATGCTATCCATCTCACAAATCACAACCCACGAGTGAAAAAAGTTGACCATTTTCAAAGGTAAATTCAATTCCAATACGAAACTATATGCAAATATTAAAAGAATCCCAAAACAATGTGTTGGTTTTCCCATGGTTCTCACAAAACTTTTAGCAATTCACCAATTATAATTTCTGCATCAGAATACGGATGGAGTCTCCATGTCATTAAAAAAATCATAAAATATTTTGGGAAGAGGAAGTCAAATAGTGGCCATATGGGGAGACAAAGTAGGATTTTTGTTAATTAGCTACTCACAACTTTGCCTTTAATTATTATTAATTAGTTATTTTAAAGCCAAATTGTATTCAAATACAAGTTTTTCTCTTCTTTTTCTTGGTGCATATTTGCATAGGAAGGAGATAACTCCTGCGATTTGCCACCTTATTCTTARAAAAGATGAGTGGAGAGCTCCTATTTATTGTTCGGGAACTTTTGAAATGTGAAACTTTCGAAAGAATATCTATTTTGTTCTTTGCTATATTATTTTGCCACCTAATATTCGTCTCCGACATATGGAAAAATTGTTGAATGAGGTCRGCGTAATGTCATGTTCTCTAATAATCACTGGATATAGATTTAAAGTTTCTTTGTGGTTTTTCTTTTATAAAAACTAACGGTGTAAAACT